TTCTAAAAAAATAAGTAAAATTAAGGGTGTGTATTATGCAAAGCTCCAAAAAATCTTTAAAAAATTGCCATTTCATAGGTTGATTTCAGTTGCAAAATGACTATCACCACAAACATACGACACTTTGACACTAAAATTCAGCGATTGCAACCCCATATGTTTATCAAATACAATTAGATGTACCTAACAATACTTACAAATGTAAAATAAAATAAGAATTATCTTAAAACTAATTTAGAATAATATTATTCTATGTTTAAAACCATTTTTTTAAATAAGAGTAGGAAATGCTGGCCGTAATGAAATTAGAGAGTTACAATTTATAGGGTTTGATTACCGAACAAGGGGTGCATATTATGCATGAGTAGAAGTAATTTCCCATATTTACAGTTTTTTATGTGTGTATTATGGATGAAAGCATATTATACATGGGGAATTACAGTATATATATATTTGTGTGTGTGTGTTGTGCGTTCATGTGTGTATATTAGGTTATCCAGAAAGTCTTGACACAATTAGGAAGTGGAGAGAAAACAAGAAAATGTTATGAAGGAGCACAAACGTTTATTCTCAATGATTTTTTGCTAGTGATCAATCAGCATCTGAATCCGTTCGAGATACCAATCCACTGACTTTGAACCAAAAAAACTGTAAATAAGCTTCCTTTACTTTATCAAAAGTGTTGACTCACTGGTTGCAAAGAAAGTGTGCCATTGATCAAAATAGGCCATAGTTGTATGGAGCATCATCAGCACTGAATGGTAGATGTGGAAGAAACTCAACACCATCCGTCTGCTTGAACTTCTCCTTAGTCAACCTAGCAGTATGCAGCCTCACATTGTCTTGATGAAAAAAAGCCTGAGATTGATTGAACAAAGCTCGCCCTTGCATGGAGTATTGCTGCCATATATGGTCTGGTGCACCTTCTGCTTACCTCGGAGTTCTTGACAAGATCCAGAGACAGATATGTAATGTAACTGGCCCTGATCTGGCGTCTCGTCTGCAGTCACTCTCTCACAGACATGCCATTGCCTCTCTGTGTCTTTTCTACAAATACTTTCATGGTAATTGCTTCGATGAGCTGCTTTCACTGGTTCCCAGACTCCATAAATTCAAGGGGCCTACGAGGCTGGCATCCTGCTCTTACCCTTTCACTGTAGAAACCTTTAAATGTAACCGTCTCTTCTACTCCAATAGCTTTATACCTTGCACCTCTCGCCTGAGGAACACCCTTCCCAATTACTGTTTACCTGAAAGCTATAATCTCCAACTATTCAAATGTAATGTCAATCAACACCTCCAGTTACCTTGATCTACCCACTATCCTTCTCCTCATCCTTTCTTCTATCACTCCTATCTGCTCTCGCTCCAAATATTCTGCAACCCCCTGCATCCTAGTGGCTTTACACCCTGCTCGGTGCGTAATGCTTAAAAAAAAAAAAGAAAAAAGTATACTCCTTCTTTAGTTTGTCGATGGTTGGTGTCTTAGGCCTATTGGTGTTGGAACTGGATAGTCGGTTGCGCTAGTCTGTTAAGTTTGCTGAGATGACAGCTTCAACAATGAGGAAGTCTTGTAGCTGAGTAGTGGCAACATTGAGATGATATTTTGGAGTTGAAGTGGTTAGTCAAGCCTGGGAGTGGTGACGGTCGTTAAGAAGAACAGGCATGTTGGTGGCGGTAGCAGCACAACAACTGCTCTCTTTCTGTCGGCCAGTGGCCTGTCAGCCTGCAAATGCTTGTGGTCTTTATCAGATACTTGCTTTTAAGAAGATCTGGCAGTCTGCAGAGACATCTCCTTTTTGGCTGGAATGCTCATAATTGGCTAGTGTCATCTTCATTGCTGGGCCTGCTTCATGGACCGGATGTGATGCTTGGAGCCTATATCAGTATATCCAAGAACAGCATTTTTTTAAATATGGTTCTCTGCCTTCATGGCATTTGCATGCAGCCATCATGCAGAATGAATCAGAAAGAGATTCAGTTTCAGTGGAGCATAACAGCTACCACAGTTTTCAGTTTGGTTCATGGGCAGCAAGTGTTGAGTTCAGCAAATGGTTTGCTGGTACTGTTAATTGTGTTAATCCTTTGTTGCTGACATCAGTTGTTATATTCATTTCCCTTGCTGAATGTTTCCGTCACCAGTTGTTAGAATTGACATTTTGTTGTGAAAGCAAAAGAATAACAAAGATTAGGTTTTGAACAACAAGTATTTGTTTAATATATAGGGTGGCTTAATCCACTTTTTAATTGTAACGTTCAAACTAATATCAGAAAGATTTTCTAAATTTAATTCATAAGCAGTTTGACCAGTACTTTTACTCATTAGTGTTCCAAGATATTTTTGTGTCATCTTGGTAAATATATCTGTTAAAATATGATGTCAGTGTTATTTTCCAGTTTTGCATAATTTAGATGACAAGTTATCCATTGCATCCCATACATACATATATATATATATATATATATATATATATATATATTTATTCGGGTTTTAAAAAAAAGTTTTGATTTAAAAATTAATTTTTTTTTTATACATTTTTCTACTTATATTTAATTTCCAAATCAGTACATTTTTTTAAACCCAAATAACTTATATACCAAACATACCAAAAAGAAATCACCACTGCTAAATTTATTAATTTACAAAACACTTTCATTGATTACAGAATTAGTAGTGATAACTCTAACATAAATATATGCAATTCAGCTTTAGCTTGTTTTTTTTTTATAGTAAACCAAAAAAAACATTCCCAGTTACTACTATAACGATTGCTAGAATGTATCCCTCCTACCTCTTCCATTGTATTACTATTTCCTATTTCCACCCTTCCTCCCCCCACCTCTCACTCTTAGGACACTTGTGAAATGCTGTGCTTAAACTTTTAACCATTGTTATCGGCAAGGAATCTTCCCAGACTCGCTAGTATTCAACACACACCCATCCTTCACCAAACTGCTATCGACAAGCACTATTGTTTCATTCCGTCACCTTTTTGCTTCATGTATATTTTTTTCTCAAACAAATGGAAGAAAGGAAGTGATATTTCACATATGGCTTGCCTAGAAGCAGAATTGTTCATAAACATTTTTGGTTCGCACCCGTCGAAGTGCAATTGAAATGCACCAAAACGAAGTTGCATCTTTGTAGAGAGTAAACTGTTTTTGTCTATATGATAAAATTATAATATATATATATATATATATATATATTATACACTGTTACATTAGAACATGTAAGTTACTACCTCAGAATTGTACATTTTGTTTTGACGTTTAATAAATATCTCATTATGTAGTAGCAACTTACATGTTATAATGTAGCATTGTATAATAAATATTTATTGTCCTACTCTTGTATTGAGGCCTATTTTAAATTAATGTTTTCAATGTTGGAATTTGTAATCAGCATGGTGATTTGAGTGTGCCAAATTATTAGAAAAGTGTAAGAATTTAGTGAAAAGATGGGCCATAAAAGCAGTTTAAGTGATACTGATAAGAAAACTATCACCTCAGAAGTCTCAAAAGATAAATCTACCCTAGAAATTTCTAAAATGATAGGGAGGTGTCATCAAACAGTGAAAAAGTTCACCGCCGACCCTACACAAGTATACAAAAGGGCATATAAAGGCAAGCCGATGGTTATTTCACGTCGTTTCATGTCACGACTTAAACGAGAGGCCACGAAGAACCCTGGACTTACCAGTCAAGAGCTTTTGAGTCGCATTGGGGATCGTACTGTGTCTAAAAGTACTCGGTGTTATTATCTGAGGGAAATAGCAACAACAGTCAAACCTGTATATATTGAAATGGGCCAAGGACAATATGATGATTGACTTCTCTAAAGTTTTGTTCACAGACGAAACTCAAGCAACACTTGATGGGCCAGGTAGATGGTGCAAAGGCTGGGTAATGAACGGACAGAATCGCCATCAGCGTTTGAGATGCCAACAAGGTGGTGGAGGCATAATGATCTGGGGTGTTATTATTGGAAAGACATTAGTGGGCCCATGGAGAGTACCAGATGGTGTCAAAATGACTGATGATGCATACATATCATTTATGAAAGAGCATCTTGAACCGTGGTTGAAAAGGCAAAGATTTGCCTTCAGAAGGGCCATTGTTTTTATGCAAGATAATGCTCCCTCACATGCTGCTCACAAGACTACTGAATATTTGAAATAGTTAGGCTTCGATGGACCTCGAAAAATGAAGTGGCCAGCAAATTGTCCAGATTTGAACCCAATCGAAAACCTTTGGAGCATCATGAAGCGAAGACTGTATGCAACGGACGACAATTCAGGAGCAATGCTGAGTTGTGGGAAGCAATTCTTGACATATCTCATGGCATTACAGCAGATGACATCCTGCAATTAACAAATTCTATGGATCGTCGACTTCTTCAAGTAATTTCAAAACAGGGAAAGCACATTCCCTATTAATTTGTCTAAAACTGCCTTTGTTTGCATCTGTTATTATTTGTTTGATTATCTTATTTATTAACTTCTTTTGATCATAAACATTCACGTGCAATGTTAATAAACGTTTTGTTTGCTCAATTCTGGGAGTTTTACTAACGCTTTTTAATAATTTGGCACGCTCAAATCACCGCATTGATAACAAATATGGCGCCAGTTTGTTTACATTATACAGATCAGTACGAAAATTTCAGTGATTGCGCAGGTCAGTGTTGCCAGCATTGTGTGAAAATTTTGTGTGAATTGATTTGACGGCTTTTCAAATATTAGAAAAATAGTTATCTCGATAATAATTTGGCACGCAGTGTATATATATATATATATGTGTGTGTGTATGTGTGTGAATAGAGAGTGATAGTCTCAGAGACTGACAAACAGAAAAATTAAATGCCTGCATATTTGTTTTATAAACCTTGACTGAGAAAATTCTTTGTGCTTGTTATGTTACACGAATGATTATCTTTATCGATGCAATTATTTTACAATCTTATAGGATTAATAAATTAATTGTGGGAATAAAAAGTATTAAGACGGAGAATAATTAAACAAAGAAATGGGAAAATATTCATGACGAGATATATGAAAGAATATTAAAAGAATTAAGAACAAGCAAGAAGCTAAATGTAATTCAAATAAATAAGGGAGAGTAGAATGAGAGAAAACAAAAGAAGAAAGTAAGGTACAAAAATGCTGAATGAGATGGAAAGAAAGAATAATGAATCCTATAAATAGAAGGGAACTGAAAAAAAAAGAAATGAATATACAGAGAAAAAAATGAGGAAAACATTGTTATGAATAATCAATAGTCGTCTCCCCTTGTTTTGTTATTCACCGTTTTGAGAGAGATATTTCTGTTTACTGGGACTATAAAAAGACACTATATGCAAACCTTTTATTCTCAGTTGAATAAAGCTTTCTTAAAGCCTACACTGATGTACTCTTGTCATAACACATATACTAAAAAAAGAAAAGAAAAATGAAGAAAGAAGTCCAATAGAGAATGATAAAAATATTATAAAATGTGGCAGAAATAGCTCCCACATAATGGTAAGACAGTAGGTAGATGAAGACAATATTATTACTCTTATATTACCATTATGTGGGAAGTATTTCTGTCATAACCTATATAAACATGCACAGACCAATATAAAGTAACAAATCGATTACAATTTTTTACCTGTGGAAAAGGTGTTGTAGGATGGAAAATAATGGAAAATCACCTTCAATGCTGTATAGGGACTTCTGAACTCTTTAGAGATTTGAAACTGAAGACTGGGCAGCTCCTGTCTATATCTGGTAGCGATACATTTTCAGCCTGATCTGGCTCTTGTAAAGGTAGCTGATAGCAGGTAAAGTCAGCTATTTACTGTCATGATACAGGGAACAAGCCATTTTTTTACAGAATCTTGAGTAATGGATCATATATGTGAGTCTAAGGCCTGATATTCTCAGCTGCCAATCTCTGATCATCAAGAGTTTTAGAGGTAACCCTGTGTAATGTTGTATCATCAGCATCAATCTATACAAGTGATTTAAGTATATTCTTAAGCAGATCATTTATGGAAATCAAAAACAGAATTAGTCCAAGAAGTGACCCCCGGTGGACACCTGTGTTGACTGCCAGAGCCTTGGAGGACTGGCCATTAATAACTACCTTCAGTGATTTATGCATGAGTTCCACCAGAGAAGAATTTTCATCTATCATGATGGATGGATGTTCTCTCAAGAATGTTCTTTGTCGTGAATGTCTATTGGGTCTCAAGTTCTCATCAGACCTCAGTTTGAACTCATAGATACAATCTATTGCTAAAAATGCTGGAAACATACTTACTTCATTGTACTTCAGGAAGTATTTGGCTTCCTCTGCTGTAATATATTACAAGAGCCAGATCACACTATTGTCACTATTTTCTTACTATTATATGGAGGTATTTCTGCCATAGCCTGTATAAACATGCCCAGACCAATATGGAAGAAGGAATATTGAAAGAAAGAATGAAATGAGAGGAAATAAAGGAAGAAAAATCATATAAACATGGAAAGATTGAAAAAGAAACAAAGAAAAGAAAATATTATATAAATTGTGAACATGATATAAAAGAAAGAAAAGAATTATATAAAATGTGGACAGAATGAAAAAGAAAGAATGAAAAAAGAATGAAAGGTGATATAAACTTTGACGGATTGAAAGAAAAAATAAAGAAAAAATTATATGGCCAGAAACAAATAAAAAAGTTATATAAACATTGATAGACTAAAAGAAGGAATGAAAGAAAAAATAAAAAGAGAAATTATATGAACATTGATAGACTGAATTAAGAAAGAAAGAATGAGAAAAATATATAAACATTAACAGACTGAAAGAAAGAAAGAAATAATGGAATATTGAGGAGTAGAAAGTAAAAGCAAAGTATGAGATAAAAAAAGTGACAAAGAACAATAAAATGGTGTAGAAGAAAATAAAAGTTACCAAAGGAAAAAGTAGAAAGAAAAGATAAAATAAATGGTGAGAAAAAATGGAAGAGGAGGGAAAAATGAATAGAAACATAAAAATCTTGAAATAGAATGGAAAGAAAGATAATGTAAGAAAAAATGTAGGAGAAAGAAGAATGAGAAAGACAGAAAGGAAGAAGATCAAGACCAAAGAGAAACAGTAAAAAATGAAACGACAATTAAAAAAATAAAAAAATAAGAAAGAATTACAAAAAAAAAAAAAATATCATAGAATCAACTACAAAATTACAACAAAATAACATTAAATAAAAGAATGCCATCCTGAAAGGCATCACCATCAAAAGAAAATGCAATATAAAAAAAGCTGTAAAACTAATCATTTGGATGATTATATTTTGTTTTCCCTGTCAGCTGTATAAAGGAAAACATTGTAATAATCGGATAATTTTAATGCTCTTATTTGCGAGCAAGGCTGCTCAATGTTACATCCACAAAAATTAACTACAAATATTCTTCCTGTTATAGGTTTTGGCAGCAATTAATTTTTTATTTCTTTCTATTGCATATTTTTGTCCCCTTCTACAATTCTTTCATTGACAAGCACCAAATATACCTTGGTGTCTTTTTCACAAAAAAAGAAATAAAAAAGATTAAATGTGAACATTTGGTTTTAACTTTGAAACACTGTGAAGTTACACTTATCTGAAATTCAACAGGCATGACTTGATTTAGTCACATAATCCCAAAGAGATCCTTGCATGGTTTTTGTCTATATGATTTTGCCATTTCTTCCGGTTCAGGACAGTTTTATCCCAGTGTCAGAAGTGACATTCCCATGTCCTTTCTTATGTGGTTTACCACAGGACCATTTGCCAAAGAATTCATCAACTATGGAACTATGTACAAAGTTTTATTCTCCTTTTTATTTTTAAAATAATGTTTACTCCTGTACAAGACCCAAAAGCCAGTCAAGGTAGAGGGTTAGAAATTAACTGGCAAGGGGCACAGTTTATGAGGATATGTTGAGAAGATAATGGTTAATCTGGACTTGAATAAGTTAAGATTGTAGCAATCAAGGAAGCATCTTCTTGGGAGTCATTTCCACAGAGTTGTTGTATGTGGAAAGAAATTGTTCTAGTGGAACTTACATTAAACTAATGGAATACAAAGGGAATGAAGGTGTTTCACTACAATGTGCATGATATGGCAGGAAGGTTAGAAGTGGTGTAACTAAGGAATGTAGTTTTCCTGAACATTTTCCATGAAAACAGGAATTGAGTAGTGAAAGGATTGCAATGTTTTCTCTGTAGGAAAAGGTGTTGTAGGATGGAAAATAATGGAAAATCACCTTCAATGCTGTATAGGGACTTTTGAACTCTATAGAAATTCGAAAGTGAAGACTGGGCAGCTCTTATTTATATATGGTAGCAATATATTTTCAGCCTGATCTGGCTCTTGTAAAGGCAGCTGAATGAGATGGAAAGAAAGAATAATGAATCCTATAAATAGAAGGGAACTGAAAAAAAAAGAAATGAATATACAGAGAAAAAAATGAGGAAAACATTGTTATGAATAATCAATAGTCGTCTCCCCTTGTTTTGTTATTCACTGTTTTGAGAGAGATATTTCTGTTTACTGGAACTATAAAAAGACACTATATGCAAACCTTTTATTCTCAGTTGAATAAAGCTTTCTTAAAGCCTACACTGATGTACTCTTGTCATAACACATATACTAAAAAAAGAAAAGAAAAATGAAGAAAGAAGTCCAATAGAGAATGATAAAAATATTATAAACTGTGGCAGAAATAGCTCCCACATAATGGTAAGACAGTAGGTAGATGAAGACAATATTGTTACTCTTATATTACCATTATGTGGGAGGTATTTCTGTCATACCTATATATAAACATGCACAGACCAATATAAAGTAACAAATCGATTACAATTTTTACCTGTGGAAAAGGTGTTTGTAGGATGGAAAATAATGGAAAATCACCTTCAATGCTGTATAGGGACTTCTGAACTCTTTAGAGATTTGAAACTGAAGATTGGGCAGCTCCTGTCTATATCTGGTAGCGATACATTTTCAGCCTGATCTGGCTCTTGTAAAGGTAGCTGATAGCAGGTAAAGTCAGCTATTTACTGTCATGATACAGGGAACAAGCCATTTTTTTACAGAATCTTTAGTAATGGATCATATATGTGAGTCTAAGGCCTGATATTCTCAGCTGCCAATCTCTGATCATCAAGAGTTTTAGAGTTAACCCAGTGTAATGTTGTATCATCAGCATTGATGTATACAAATGATTTAAGTATATTCTTAAGCAGATCATTTATGGAAATCAAAAACAGAATTAGTTCAAGAAGTGACCCCCAGTGGACACCTGTGTTGACTGCCAGAGCCTTGGAGGACTGGCCATTAATAACTACCTTCAGTGATTTATGCATGAGTTCCACCAGAGAAGAATTTTCATCTATCATGATGGATGGATGTTCTCTCAAGAATGTTCTTTGTCGTGAATGTCTATTGGGTCTCAAGTTCTCATCAGACCTCAGTTTGAACTCATAGATACAATCTATTGCTAAACATGCTGGAAACATACTTACTTCATTGTACCATTCCAGTAAGTAGTTGGCTTCCTCTGCTGTAATCTATCATTACAAGAGCCAGATCAGACCATTGTCACTATAATCTTACCATTATGTGGGAGGTATTTCTGCCATAGCCTGTATAAACATGCCCAGACCAATATGGAAGAAGGAATATTGAAAGAAAGAATGAAATGAGAGGAAATAAAGGAAGAAAAATCATATAAACATGGAAAGATTGAAAAAGAAACAAAGAAAAGAAAATATATAAATTGTGAACATGATATAAAAGAAAGAAAAGAATTATATAAAATGTTGCCAGAATGAAAAAGAATGAAAGAAAAAAGAATGAAAGGTGATATAAACATTGACGGATTGAAAGAAAAAATAAAGAAAAAATTATATGGCCAGAAACAAATAAAAAAGTTGAAACATTGATAGACTAAAAGAAGGAATGAAAGAAAAAATAAAAAGAGAAATTATATGAACATTGATAGACTGAATTAAGAAAGAAAGAATGAGAAAAATATATAAACATTAACAGACTGAAAGAAAGAAAGAAATAATGGAATATTGAGGGGTAGAAAGTAAAAGCAAAGTATGAGATAAAAATGTGACAAAGAACAATAAAATGGTGTAGAAGAAAATAAAAGTTACCAAAGGAAAAAGTAGAAAGAAAAGATAAAATAAATGGTGAGAAAAAATGGAAGAGGAGGGAAAAATGAATAGAAACATAAAAATCTTGAAATAGAATGGAAAGAAGAAAAACATTGATAGACTGAAATAAGTAAAGAAAGAAAGAAAGAAAAAAATTATATAAACATTGACAGACTGAAAGAAAGAAATAATGGAAAATTGAGTGGGAAATATATAAAACTGCACAGAAAGTAAAAGCAAAGTATGAGATAGAAAAATGATGGATGGATGTTCTCTCAAGGATGTTCTTTGTTTTGAATGTCTATTGGGGCTCAAGCTATCTTCAAGCCTCAATTTGAACTCATAGATACAATCTATTGCTAAACATGCTGGAAACATACTCACTTCATTGTATCGTTCCAGTAAGCAGTTGACTCCCTCTGCTGTAATCTATCATTACAAAAGCCAGATCAGACAAAAATGGATAATTGCTGCTATATCTGAGCTGGAACTGGCCAGTCCTCACTTTACTGTCTTGAGTTCAAAAGTGTTTACATAGCTTTGTGGGTGATGAATTAATTGCCACCCTATAACTTGTTTCCCACAGACAAAACATGGCTCTATAGCTACTTCCATGGCATGTGGTCTTATGAGTTACATCCCATGGTCCAACCACACCTAAAATTTAAAACTTGGACCTACCATGCCATATACATAAGTGTGAATCATTCTTATTCTGTTGCTTTGTGGAACAGACTCCCAGCAGGTTGTTTTCCCAATCACTGCAAGCTTGACCGCTCCTTGCATAGCTCCATGAACTTAACTTTTTGCCTTTTGTTATGCTGATACAACACTATACAGTAACCCTCTTCCTTGAGTGGCTCTTGGGGCTTTGGACTGAGCATAAAAGAATATCTGAATTGAGCTTGAGTCCTTCCTCCAATTACATGTTTAAACCAGTTAAGTCTTCTCCTTCTTAGTGTAATTATGTCAGTTTTCACATCTAGCCTTTTCCTTATGACAACCAATTTGATTTGTTTTCTGATATTCTCCCAGCCATGGCTTTCTTCAAAGGCATTCAAGGCCTCCTTCTCCCAGTAAGGCTATCTCGACATTCAATCTTAGCGTTTCCATTAAAGGAATATTATTATCATTTTAATAAATTGTGCCCTCATAAGAGTTCCTGCCAATTGTTACCGTGAGTCAAACTTCAGTAAGCTGATTAAATGCATCCAGGGTTATGCGTTTTTGTTTGTTTGTTAGTTTGCAGTATATTTTAAAATAGAAAGATTATTATTAGGAATTTCATTTGTTGCATAAACACATTCTTAATGCATACATATTATGCTTGTTTAGCAGTATGTATGTATACATACATATATGCACACACACACACATATATATATATATTCATTGCCATATATGAGGACTGATATTTCATAACAGTTGTTTGTTTCTAATGCAAGTTTTCTGTTTCTTAATACATTGATTAGCTTTTGGAAAACTTCTTTCGTTATTTCAATCCTTCAGATTTTGGTGCCCCATTTTCTGTCCTTTCTTAGAACACTTAAGAAAAGTTCAGTTCATGACGTTGATGCTAATAATGGATGAATTGTATCAAATGAAACAAGAAATGTTTGTTTATAAAATTTTGAATAGCCACAAGAATGATAATTTGGGAGTTCTGATAAAAAGCAACAGAAATAAAATGATTAATGACCTGAAAATCTTAATTTAATTTCAACATCTAATTTTTCTTGGTTTCTTTTCCATGAGTATAAATTGGTACTTATTAAGCTTAGTTTTGTTTGCATTTGACACAAAGCTCTATTTTAGGAACATAAATATGTTGATGGAAGACACAGAAAAACAATTTAGGACTACCCATCAATGTGATAAAGGACTCCAAATGTGCAAAATAAAATAATGTGTCAAGTATAGTCGTGATCATAGAGTCAATGCAAATGATATTTTCCTTAGCTGCATCATATGTACTTCACCAGGGCTAAATACAGTTTTGAATTCAGAGTTTTCCTTTTCCTAGACTGGTTTCAATCCAAGGCTATAGAATCCAGTCTGTCTTACTATTTACCCATAGCTTGGGGGAGAAGAGATGAAGTAATACCTTTCCCAAGGGTATTAGCATTTAATATGTTAATGAACTCAACCGGAATTTAAAAATGTTTCTCACAATCCTCAATCCTAGCTGTAACCCAAAAACTAAACAAAGTAATCATAAACAGGATTGTTTTTTTATTAGAAACAAATAAAAGAGTGCTGAACTGGTGTGTAATAATACTCCTCCAAGTGAATGCTTGAATATATCATTCCAGAAATGTGGTTCAAAATGATACTGAGAATACCATGGATTAAAAATGTGAGTAACAAGGAAGCTTTAGGGAAAATGGAAATGAAAAAGATGAAAAAAAAATGGATGAAAATGGGAATGAAAAAAATACATAGAATTAGAAAGAGAGTTGAAATTTCTAAGATATATCATGAAAAAAGAGAGCTTAGAAAATTTGACATTCACATAATATATTGAAAGCAAGAGGGACAGAGGAAAACAACTACCAAATGATCTTGTGTAAATGGTTAGCTGAACAGGGATTAGGAAACATTGTGAGACGACAAAATGTGAATCAATCAAAAGGTTTTAAAATGGGAATGAAAAGAACATAGGATTATGGTCAGAAAAAGCCAACTGAAATTTCCAGAAGACATAATAAGGAAAGGGGGTTTGGTTCTTGGTTTGGTTTGTTTTATTTTATGGCATATCAACATCAATGGGCTATTTAATGAGGACAAAATTTTTTACTGCTGGTAATATCTTGTTTTATTAACAATCTGCTTCTGGTAATATGTTTCTTTCAAAAATTTATTGCTGGTAATAATATTTTTGAAAAAAAGATTGCTCATAATATTTTTTTTCAAAAATCTATTGCTGGTAATTGTTAACTATTTGCCCATAGCAGGGACCCTAACAGGTGCTACTACCCCTGGTCATGGTGGACCTGGGAACACCAGCAATTAAGAGGTGGTTCCACACTCCTCAAACCCCCCTGATCAGAGACCTTGCTGCTGAACGTAGTTTATCGTCTTACCTAGGACACAGATGTAGTTTATCATCATACCCAGGACAGTAAGAGGGCTTGGAGAATCTGATGCTAATAAGACATATGAAGGGCAAAAGGAACAGGGAACATTGAGAAAAATTCCTAAGGAGATTGTGTAAATGGATGGCAGAAGATGGACTGGATGGGACAGTAAAAAGACAAACATTACTTAGTGCTACAAATGATGTAAAGTTGTGGAGAGCCATGATAACACATGTCTAAAGGGATATGGCCCATCAAAGAAATTTAATCTAAATAGTAGGTGAAAGAATGTCGATATTTTGAATCTTCGAAGCAAGCACGTCTGTGATGCCTTGATTGATTGATTCATTTTCTACGGCTTATCAACCTGTTGCAGGTTATTTAAAGGCAGAAAATATTCTTAGATTGTAAGAATATTTTTTGAGATAATAACAGTTTACTGATACAAGTCTTACTAATTAACCCATATCTAAGAGGAACAGAAGTGGATTTATACCTTTCTCAAAGGTATCTGCATATAAGTGAATATAACAAACCCAAATGAAATTGGAACTTGGCTCTCTGAATTCCGTATTGTATCTATTGCACCACCACACACATCCAAGCTTACAGCACCTGGTATTCCTAAGTGGTCACCCATATAAGTACTGATTAGGGTCAATGTTGCTTAATTTTGGTGGTCATTTGAGAAATGGTGTTTCAACTTGATGTGGCTGCAAATCTGAGATTCCTTGAAGATAAGCATGGACATTTTTTGCTTGGTTTCAAATAATAAAAATCAACGCCCAGTGGGCCCTTAATTTAAATACTTATCTAACTAAAATTCAAGAATCTGCTACCTGAATAAAAACTTCACTCTTTTACAAAGTCAGTAGAAATAAAATTAAACTTATTAATTATCTATAAATGATATTCAAGCACTTTCCAACTTGTGCCACATCCCCCAACATTCCCGAAAGCCAATAATATCAAGAAATCACCTTCCTGACAAATTGACCATGATGAGATTTGAACTCAGTTCTCATGGTCAGAAAGAGAGCCTTGTTAGTAGAATGTGGTGGAACTATTTGGGAAGTCATAAATCATGAAGCTGCAAATCATTGTGACAGAGGCTTTGGGTGTTCAGACTGTTGATCAGGCTAAATAATGAGGTCTCTCCCCAAAAATTGTAACTGTAACTGTGTTTTAACAGAAAATATGACACTGAAATCTGCAGGAGCATTGAAATAACAAAAGATGCCTTGCTAATACGAAGCAAACTATTAAGAAACAGGAAAATTTCATTAGAAACAAAGAAAAGAGTGCTGAACTGTTATGTAATATCAATCATCCTACATGGCAATAAATGCTGGAAAATTCTCTTACAGATAAAGAGGAGACTTTAGGCAGTGGGTGAATGGTTCTACAGAAGGATGCTGAGGATACCCTAGTCGTAGCATATGTGACAAGTATGTTTTAAGGAAAATGGAAACAAAAACTACACTCGTACATAGAATAAGAAAGAGATTTAAAATTTCTAGGACACATAGTGAGAAAAGAAAGTTTAGAAAATTTGACACTCACAGGACATATTGAAGGCTAGAGGAACAAAGGGAAATAGTAAGTTACCCACCTAACAAGCTTGTATAAATGGATGGCAAAACACGCAATAGGCGAGGCAAACATTGCTCTGGAGCTACAATGTATAGGAAACTGTGGAGAGCCATGATCTCTCATGTCCTGGTTGTTAGTATTAATATTTATGTTGCTTCATTCATATATGTTGTCTTTGAAAAAAATTATCAAATTGACTGTGTGCTGAGGATATGAAATCAATTCATAAGCAAGTCTAAAATAATGACTTCTAGGTTAGCAATTAGTGGCTGAAACTGAAAGGTTCTAATCCTTACCAGTTCTCCTGCTGCAGACATAGATTTTTCTGAAACTTACATTGCCTGCTGTTAATGTGCAGATAAATTTTCATGTTATAGTGAAATATTGGTCATGAATATTTAGTTACTTATATTATTTACATTATTCGAACTGTTATCCTCATCTTCATTTCCATATTCACAACGTTTTGGCTGTTGTATACTCTGGCCTTCTTCAGGTGATTAGAATTTCAAACCAAACCCTTTATTTCGTCCATCAGGGTAGATTTTT